AAAAAAAACTTTTACTTGCGTATCATTCATCGGATATTCACTGTTTGGAAAAAGCTTAGGAACTTGATTAGATGGGACAAACCAATAAGTATCACTTTCCTGCTCATTCCATTGCTGATCTCGTGAAATTCTAAACATGAGAACTATAAATCCGTCATCTGCGCAATACTAAGTTTTGTTAATCTTGTGAATTGTAGAATGAAACAAACATTTCAAGTTTGCATATGGCACGTTTAAAATACATTGAAGAAACGAATTAAAGCAGCTTTGAAATCCAATTTTAGCAATATCTTCATGTAAAAATCTTTAATTATTCTGTTCTGAGCAAAAAAAAAAACAAAACTAAGAAGCAAAAAAATTTTCTCATTTTTAATTCAATAGTTTATGTACACCGTATTTTGCATAACACCGTGCAGTATTGTAAGGATTTTTGCAGAGAAGCATAAATAGTTCGATGACAGTTTTTGTCATCAAAATTTTGTTCAATGACAGTTTTTGAATGCGTTATTTTGTTCTCAGACATTCAATTCGCTGTTTCAGCGTGGAATTGATCAGACATCCGTTATTTCAATGGTCTTTGTTAGAGAGAAGATATTTTTACTAATTTTCTTTAAATGTATAATTGCTTTGGGCCAATTTTAAGTAATTTGGATTATTTCATTATGAATGAGACAGAAGTTTCACCCTCAGGGTCATGCGATGATCATTGCAAGATTTATCCTTTGCTTCCTCCTAATTGCTTCTTCATATCTTTGGAGTAGTTTTATTAGGAATTGTCGAAAATTATCTGCTATGTCCAGATTTCCTTTTCTGTTTTTAATTGATAAACTTTATTTTCTAAAACTCATGCTAGCAATCGACTTTCAATGCTTATTTTGGTGCTAGAATGTTCGAATTTTTTACCTATAGTTTCTAATTGTTGAAGAATTTCATTTCCATTGCTTCAATGACCAATTTCCATTCTTTATCGTTTCTTTTAATAGAACGAAATTTATTGTGTAGTGATTTCTTTATTCTGATAGGTCTCATTAAAATTTGTTTTACTAATTAGTAATTTTTTGGGACCATGTCATAACCTTTAACATCTTGTAAGGCATCTCCTTTCAGACTATGAAATTAAATAATTGACTTTTTGAATGTCTAAAATTTTTTGGAGGTGTACACTTGCATTGAAGCTGCTTCAGAATTCTCGTCATATTTTTCGATCATCGCTAAAGATTGTCAGCTATTAGCACTCAAACAAAGAAGTCACATAATCAATCATTTGATATATGAAGAAAGGATCATGTAATAGGTCAAACTATTGCAGCTTCTAAACATGCAACAGATAAAGCTAATGGTTGATGATCAACAATCACATAGAGTCTTATGAACTTCATCGATTGTTAGTGACACCAATAACCAATCACCAAGATTGAAATGTCTTGATCGATACGCGAAATCAATCCATACCCGTGCTAAACGATCATCGCAATATGTTACGATTCCTTCCAGCAATTGCTGTTGCTCTTCCCCACATCTCGATGTTACCGCCATACCGAACCTTGGAATGTATTACCCACTGTGATCACACCTGCAATATTCTAATTCAAATATGCAAATTTGACCACATCATGTTGATAATAACAATATATCAACACTTTTTAATATATTTTTATGAAATATTTGCTTATGCTTCAGTTCAAAACAACAAATCTCTTACAGACACTGTAAAAACCTTACTCGGAATGTGTCGACAGTCGGATGACAAAAAACTTTTTCACCTAAATCATTATAGGTGCTTTTTTCATTCCCATTTATATCAATTCCCTCATATGCTAATGCACTGCGACAAAAGCTTGCAAACATAATCCCTCACTTACGAGTACATTCCCTCTCTCTCTCTCTCTCTCTCTCTCTCTCTCTCTCTNTCTCTCTCTCTCTCTCTCTCTCTCTCTCTCTCACTACCCACTTATTTATGTCTGTCTTCAATATCTCATCTCTTGCACGATGTTTACATGCATACACACATATGTACATATACAGATATATACGCTTTTTCTATTTTATTGCGCTTGTTTCCGTATATGCTTTATGAAATATTCGTTGATGGTATGCTATCGTTCTGTTTTTATTTATTTAAATTTTGTTTTTCAAGTCGGCGTGATAAAACGATTATTCATGCAATGCTAAACATAGCAAAATAATGCTGATCTGTGATGAAACGAGCATTGGGAAGAAGGAAGAAAGTCATTTTGTGTCATTACGTCGTTGCCTTATCACTTCGACAAACATTAAATATGAGTGAAAGGAGGGAGAGAGAGAGAGAGAGAGAGAGAGAGAAAGAAGGAGGGAGATGATGAGCTGAGTGGAGTAAGGAAAAAAGTTAATTTAATTCAGAGGATTGAAATAAGATTGTATGGGAAGAAGAAAGAGAGAAGACAATGAGTAATAGCAGTGAATTTATATGGAAAAAAAGAAGGCTTTTTAGGCACTAGCATAATTCATTTCAACAGTGATAGGTATGGCGTTTTAAGTACGAGGCACTGTTTGTTATGAATATTTTTTTTTCTAATAGAATTTTTGTATTTTGCAGTTGTAGTGGAAGGTTAATATTTGATGGAGAATTTTATTCCTTCTTGACATTATAATACAATTATTAGGAACTATCAAGAGTAGGAATGAGCGATCATTTAGTGGTTGATCCGGGAGAATAATATGATTGAGGTATTGATTAGAGAAGTGCAGGTGATAAGACCGTTTTGTTTCAGAACAATGAGTTGCACTCGAGAATGCGCTCACTTCGAGTTGGGCGGTGCTCGATGAGAACTGTTTTGCAGTTAAACAATTGGTCATTTGGTAGAGGAAATTAATGATAAATAAAAGAATCATTTTAGTCGTTCGATAATGATCATTAGCGGTGTTCTTCAGAATCTTACATGAAGAAAATAAACAAAGCATGTCTTATCATTTGACTGAAAATTTGAGATGAATGAACTTTATAGCACAGAAATCAAGAATACAAAGATATTTTACAAATAAATATTTTTATATGATACAATTATTTCGTATTTTCGGCGTACTATTTGCTATAAATTATTTTTCTAAATTAATTAAAAACCTGGGAATTTCAAATAGATGTTTAATTAATGTAACAAATTTTCAGCGCTCTTGATAGTATAATATTTTCATCATAAATTTGCAATTATTCTCCTAAATAACTGAACCTTTCATCTTTATCTTTGCTCAAAATGAAATTTACTACTGATATTTTTAAGCTTCAAATGTAAAAGAATGAAATCAATTTATCTGCGCTGTTCGTAATTAAATAAACATAAATGAAAATATATATCATTCAGAGTGTAAAAGTATATTAATTTGAATTATCAGTTATTTATTTCGATATCAGAATGTTAGAGAGGAGGAAATGGTGCACATAATCATTCCTGAATAATTTCACTGAATTTAAGTACCAATTTTTTTAACTCTAAAAAAAGTTTGAAATTACAAAAATCACATATTGTCAAATGGTTCGTCATCTATCTGCAAACAAACGATAATTCATATTCAATTATCGTTATTATATATGGAATTCGATTGGTGAATCATTTCGATGTTTGATCGTTATATGGTAGAAAAAATCAGTGAATCCCCTTTTGATCAATTCTCTTTGAATTATTTGACAGTTTTCAATATCGAATTAAAATTTAACAAAAAGAAAAAAATTCTTTTTTCACCTTTGGTCTCACCTAAAAGAGAGTATTGTGTATTTGAAAATGTTTCGAGAGAAAGAAAGAAAGGGAATGAGGAGAAGTGTAATGTATGAAAGAGGATAGCGAAGAATGAGAAGGAGTTCAGTCCTATCGTAGTGGGCAGGTGCAGAGCAGAAGATAAACGATGAGAGAGAGAGAGAGAGAGAGTGAAAGGGAGAAGGGTAGCAATTATCGACCTGCAAGAGATAGGCCACTTCCAATCATGTCCTTATTTCTATTCCCCCGCGCCTTTTAGGAGTTGACAGTTCAAACAGACTCTGCCTATGTCCATCGCTCATCCATTATGCTGCATCTTCAATCTTTTACAATTTAACTTTATTCATTAGCTACCGCTTATACTTCATGCACCAATCATTAATAAATTTCGTCATTTCGACTTTGTGTTTTAGTTTTTAAAACTTTTAAAATTCAAATGTTAGCTATGTGTAGTAGGCTTACATATTCTTCTCGAATTGTACTTACCTATCCTTTAGCTTACTCTTTCAAAAAATCGAAATGTTGATCAAATATCTTTGACCTTTGCCATATATAATTCATATTACACATGATATACAATCAAATGTCATCAGAAAATCTCGAGTTACAAGAGATTTTACTCAATTGTTTTGTTCTTTTTCTCCTTTAGTTAAAATTTTAGTTTTAGTGAAGTTTTATATTGGCATTGAAAAGTATGCAATTAATACATGATTCAGGTAATGTCAAAAATATCACTCGTAATGGACAATTTTTCAATTTGATTCTTTTAATTATTTATAATCCAAATAAAGAGATGCAATTAATGAATGAAATGAATGATAAGAGTGAGAATTTTGAACAGATCAAGTATTCTAAATTATATTCATCAAATTAATTATAACCTAAAATTATTAACAATATTATCTCTCTATCTATTTTACCTTTTATGTTAATGATTACAGAAGCTGTTCGATGAAATCCCGAAAATATGTACAACATTTTTCATTTTCTGATTATCGGAATTTTTTAATTTTCAATTTTTTCTTTATATTTTCCTTATCGTACACAGTGCAATGTATATGTATGTATGTATGTATGTATGCATGTATGTATGTGTGTATGTATGTATGTATGTATGTATGTATG